AGTTGCACTTAACGTCCCTATGCTCTTTATGCAATTCATATTCTTAACCTCTAGCCTCTTTACAGCAACCGGCGCGCCGGCGTGCCGTTTTTGTTTTTAAAATGTTCAACCAGCAATAACAGATGCATTTTGAACACCAAACCCCAAAAGCTGTATGTCATTTTAAAGCTTATTTTCGTATTTACAATTATATACAAGTGTCAGCAATATCAGACATTGCATTCAAAAGATATAACACATAATATGGGAACAAAATGAATCAGCTCCGAAAAAGTTTCTTACCATTTTCCGTGTACTACATAAATAAGTCAGCTCTCCTCCCAGCTTGCTATGGCTTATTCTCTCCATAAGTGTCCATGGAAAACGGAAATCCACTTGTGTTTCCCAAAGTATAATCCATTGTGCAGAAATCATCCAAAAAATTGAAACAGCACGGACGCTGCTTTTCACTGTTTGCGGAAATGCAGCTTTGCCTTTCCCCCACAAAGAGGGTATGCTTCTGTTCCTCACCTTGTTAGCTACACAATGAGACTATCCCCGAAGAGATAGGTGCTTGATTTCGTTTGCTACGTCTCTGTGAATAAAACAAGCGACTCCCTTTTACGCACGGCCACTTTCTGTTTGTTGTTACCAGGGCAGGGAGGGGGACGTGGTAGAGCCGAATGAATGACATGGCCGTGTAGCCAATGAGGAAAGCTTTCGAACAAGGGGTGGGACAATGGTGTCCTGTCTTATGTTGTGCCTGTAGAATTGTGCGTAATGGCAGCCAAAAGACGCTCTCAAAGCTGCAATGAATTTACACTCATAAAAAAAATTGACATTTAAAAAAAAAACACACACATAGAGTACCAATAATAAAAAATATTGTTTTTATGATGATTAAATGTAAGTAAAGATATTTGGCACAATTTGGCACTACTTGATGAAAAGGAGAAACTGCATAAAAACTATAAAACTTAGAAGTCTGAAACTTTAGACAGTTGTTGTCAACAACACAATGACCACAGGGTTTGAATATTGTGAACTTACAATGAAGTATGCCTTTTTTAGGGCCTTTAGAAATTGAAAATGTTAGGCGAGGCTAAAAAAATTAGTTTTTTTTCCCAAACTTCAAAGGATGCAGAGGGAAATAGGAATGACAAACATTATTTTAGTGTTTTTTACATAAACTAGAAGGCTCTAGCTTTAAAATGATGCATCACACAAGCATGTGAGATGTAAGATGTGTTATTAAATAAGCAAAGACATTTGGGTATGCCCAACTTTTGTGCACAAGCCAAAATGAGGCGGGTGTTAAGAGGCTAGACAACATTAATCTTAAAGGCTTACTAATTTTTTTAAATATCCTTTTGTTTCATAAATACTATATTATGTCTGTCCCAACGAGACCACAACACACTGTCTTCTTACTAGAATAAGCCCTGTGAGTCACTATTTGACGCATTGGGCTGACAGCTGATTGGCTGAGTAAGGGTGGTCCTTTCTATAAGATGTCCATCCATCCATTTTCTACCCTTTAATCCATTTCTGGGTCAGGGGGGTGACAGTCAGAGATGCCACCCAAGTCTCATAGCACCAGCCCCTCACTGACCCTCTGCAGGTGGTGAGTCCACAGGAGGACGGCTGCTCTCTGAGTGTGAGCATAGCCTTGATCTTTCAGTGGGGGCTTTGGGCAAAGTGGGGTTAAGTGTCTTGCCCAAGGACACAACGACAGCAGTCATCAGTGGGAGTCGGTGGAGAAGGTGAAGAGGTGGGAATTGAACCCACGACCTTCTGGCCTTAAGGCCAATGCTCTACCAACTGAGCTACTGTCGTCTATAAGATGTGTCAGAGGTTAAAAATACATGCACCTGAAAACTGGTGTTACTGTTTTAGAAGCCAGGAATTCTAGTCTGGTGGATTTTATTACATACATTTAAAATGTTACTGTGGTTTTGAACACACCACTGGTTTCCCCCATCACTCGTTCACAATAGTTCAGAGTGTTTTTGAGTGCTACTGCTCATAAATACATACTCTCCCACCCAAGTTTGTTTGTATATAAAATATACAAATAAATAGAAATAGAGTAGCCGTGACCTCTGCACTAGGGTTATTATTTCAGTTACTAAGTGAAAATTCTCTCCTTGTTTGACTTGGCTCTAACACCGGTGCAGCCCACACCTGCATCACTGAAGGGCAGGCAAAGCACTAGTATTTACTGAATTGTGAATCTCGTATAAAGCAAGTTCCTCTCAAGTGCAGGACGGACACCACAAGCGGTGACGGAGCACGGATTTCTTTGAGCTCATCTCTGCTTATCTTTCCAATTAACATGTGCCTGTGCTGCCTGTGAGCGGGCTGCTGTGTCTAATGATGCGGATTACGGCTGCCACTCCCGCTGCATGCTGGGAGCTCAATTCCCCTTTGAGGCCCTGCGATCTGTCACCCCTGCCTCTCTCCATCTCCGACCTGTGAATCATCGTATCGCCGTTCAATGGGCACCAAGCTGCGCATTAATGGCCCCCGCCTCCCTCATCTCCTCATCATGCGTCGACTGTTATTTTCCAACTCCACTCCAGACACTCAAAAACACTGGTGTCTTTTGCTTTTATCCCTAATGTGTTGTCTGGAAATGGAAAAATGTGCATGGATGTCTCATTTATGTCAGAAAAAAAAAAGTGAAAATGAAGAAGTGATGACAGGGAGATGTCCTCCTCAACTCCCAGTCTGACTCCATCAGGCCGCTTCCATTATGTGCTCCATATGCATGTATTGCAGAGTGATGCCGTTAAGAAGCTAAAATTGGGCTGATTTAGGCCTGAAGTAGAATTGCAGAATTGCATCATGAGTTCCTGAATTCAGGACACGACCTGACGTTCTGCAAATAATATCCTCTTTTCTTTCATTTATTTGTTAATTATTTTGATAATTTCTCTCTTCTCCACCCCTTCTCTCTTTCACATAACATTTCTGAAAGAAAAAGCAAACGTCTGGCGCCTAATGGGCTGGATGCCAAAAAGAAAAGATTATATATATATATATATATATATATATATATGTCAAGTTATTTGGTGATATGTTTGTGCAAATTCCCCACTTGAAAGGGATAAACCCTCCACATATGAGTTTGAACTGGATTTCACTCAATGATCAGCCATGGTTCTTGATTCATGCCATTTATTTGGCTTGGTTTCAGCTTTAGGTTCAGGTGAAAAACCTGAAAAGGAGAACAGAAACATACAGTCATTTTCCTATGCAAATAAACCGTCTTCTAATTGCACTTTCAACAAATAATGTTCCTGCTAGTAACCAAAATAGTATCTTATTTTAAATAATATTTACCCCCAAATGAATTAATCTATATTTTAACCTGGTTTTAGCACATTTTTAAAGTAATATATTTCAACATTTTAACACTAAGTACTTGATTTTTACATTTTATCACTAAGTGATTGATTTTTACATGATTGCGAACTGCGTTTTCCAAACATGATCGTATACATGAAACATTCAGTTTTTTCAAACTTAACATTCTTCATAATCTTTACATAAAGGCGAATATAAGGCAAATTTTGTTAATTAGTAGTGAACATAATATTAACGAACACAGACTAGTTAACCCGCATTCCTTCCTGGAGTTAGCTTTTGTTTTGTCTAACAACAGTACATTTTATAAACAACAATCAAACAAAGTAACTGTTTTTTGAGTCCGTGTTTCCTCTCCTCCCAAGGGCCCTTGAACGCGTCGCCGCGTAAGTTCAAGCGATCGCAAATGAGGAACGGCGCTTACCGGCTGTCTCTCATGGGGTTGTGAGAGGGTTACTCTTGCACAGTTTTTGTCTTTATTGTTGTCTTTTTGCGCTGCTTGGGCGCTGAGATCGCTTGTCCCACTCGAACTCACACACAGAAGTGTCCGTGTCCGTCCCTTTTAACCACCCCGGGTGGATGCAGGTGAGCCGTTCCACCCACCATTTCCCTCCGGTAAGGAGGGGGAGCGGGACTACAACGCAGTTCGCCAGCACAATATATATATATACAGTACAGACCAAAAGTTTGGACACACCTTCTCATTCAAAGAGATTTTTATTTACATGATTATGAAAATTGTAGATTCACACTGAAGCCATCAAAATTATGAATTCACTCATGTGGGATTAGGTACATACTAAAAAAAAAAAAGTATGAAACAACTGAAAATATGTCTTATATTCTAGGTTCTTCAAAGTAGAACCTTTTGCTCTGATTACTGCTTCACACACACTCTTGGCATTCTCTTGATGAGCTTCAAGAGGACCTGAAATGGTCTGAGTTCCCAGAGATGCTTAGCACTTGTTGGCCCTTTTGCCTTCACTCTGTGGTCCAGCCCCAAAACTATCTGGAGTGGGGTTCAGGTCCAAAACCATCTGGATTGGCTTCAGGTCCGGTTACTGTGGAGGCCAGGTCATCTGGCCCAGCACCCACCACTCTCCTTATTGGACAAATAGCCCTTACACAGCCTGGTGTGAATCTACAGTCAATAGTCATGAAAAGAAAGGACACTCATTGAATGAGAAAGTGTGTCCAAACTTTTGGTCTGTACTGTATATATATATGTTTTCAAGATTCCTAGTTGATTCTAGAATCATGTAATCCAAGATATTTTTTCCCAGTCTCTGGTGTCACGCCTGCTGCTATCACTATATCCCTTTGTGTTTACAAAAGTAGTTTTAGGCAAGAAACAGGAGGCTGCCGTCATCCGAGGTCACCTTCACTGGAAAGGATGAAGAGAAGTCTTGTGCATTACAATTATAGCGTTGTGAATCAGTGTCACAAAATCATGACCACAGCCACTAAAGGGCTCCCTATTGGATTATAACATTATCTTAATGGCATGCTGACAGTCTATTATTTGAGATGTTTTCTGCTGTGTTTTTGAAGTCCTCTAGGAAAATGCACTGTATGTGAGAGAGAAAACCTCTTCACTTGTAATAGTTTAGGTAAACCGAGCTTTGACGCATGATGTTTTTTTCTGATTACAGATTACATTTTCTGCAAGCCCATACTCGGAGCTGATCCAGGTGACTCCCAATCGCCTGACCTCAGGGATGGAGAAGCCAGAGATGTTGTGGGTGATGGGCCCAGTGCTGGCTGTAGTCCTCATCATCATCATTGTCATCGCCATCCTGCTCTTTAAGAAGTAAGGCTACATCATGCGTCACTCTCACGGTGTTTGGCCAAGCTGACGGCTGGTGGCACCTGTGATTGGGCTTACTTTTGGTTGCATCAGGAATGGAAATAAGACATGCTGCCTCTTCCTCCTGCTCACTTACACACAAAACTGTATCATCCCATTCCGTTAGCCATCCTATTTTGTGTGGCTAACGCCAGATTTGGTTTGTCTTTGAGACAATCCTCTTTTCCACTCAGATGTTGGCCCAGTTAGATATTTTAACAATAGCATGTGAAATGTCAGTTGAAATGGCAGCTGACATGGGTCCCTAATGAAAAGCACAGCTTGGCTGTCGGAAACTTTTTAGTTTGAGTTGAAAAATGGCTTTGGCCAACTCAGTTGGCCATTTGAAACAGGAAACAAAGGGCTCGACCAAGGCTTAACTCAAAGCTCAGTCAGTATCTCTTAAAAGCACTTCAGCTGCCATGCAGCATACTGTGGACACACAGACCCACCCACAGCCACTCACCAGTATTGTGTTGGAACAATAGACTATAAAATACTGCTGCTAAACTCTGTCCAGCCAATTAAAATGCCTCTGCTCTTTATAGAAGCTATATTGAAATGTGCATTCATTTCCAATTCATATTCTCAAAATGATGTGGTCTTCAGCTTTACTGTTTAGATGATTATCTAAACAGTTTCCATTGTGTCTAGTAATTTATGATAGTTTAAATACCTGTGATATACAGTATGGCCTGTATCTCATTTGGTTTAATTGGGTTTTTCAGTGAGGAAGTCGCAGTGCACTCTGTTAGCCTGATAAATCTACTGCTCCTGATGTTACCTGTGCAGCAGCACGCTGAGTCTATGGCTGACTGTGAAATGACTGGTTAATAATAGGCCTTGAGACAGCTCTCTGCTGAGGAGCACATCCTGCACTGGAGGCCTTTCTGTACGCGCTCAGACTGACAGCAGAGTGTGGGGAGGAGGATGTGTGCCCTTTTCACTGAGCAAAGAAATAACTGCACTGTATCGCACTTTGTTATTCTACATGCATATTTGCCAGAAATGACACCCTCCACTGATGAAGATATACCTCAAGGCTCCATCCGGCTGGCTGGAATAGTGATGCAATTGAGCTCATTTGGGCTGATGCCGTTTAGGTGCATGTGATAAAACCTGCTTATTAATCCTGCGCTTTTTTCCCTTTGCTTCTGTGGCTGCAGCAAACAGGAAAGGTGGGTACTGCCACTGTCTCATTAGCTGTGACTTGATCTCCTCCGTCTCCCAAGTCCCTTTCATCTGTGTTAGTGAATTATACCTTTCATGAAAGTCAGGGGTTGTAGAGTCAGCCACCTCTCAGCTCCAAAGACTTGTGCCAAAAGGAAGAAAAAATTGCACTGAAGCATGATTAAAGAAAGTTATGTTTAAATTGGTGTCTGCAATATCACATAGGGACTGAGAGGCAGCAGACTGTGTAGCCCTTAATAGCGGGGGGTCATTGGAGCCCTTGGTCACTCCTGTTTAGCATGTCCTATCCAAGTCTCACTGTTTCATTATCCAGCCTGTGTCAGAGCTTGCTCTAAAGTCCAGCCCTATCAGAGTGATGCCAAGGCATCACCTGATGAAACTCAATGGGCCATTGTGAAGTAAAATACCAGATGAGGGGAGCCGATGAAAGAGAAACGTTCCCAATCTTTGAAGCTGACATTTTCCACCAGGACCCGTTCTGCCACTTTTTGCCCATTTTCTGTGCCGCACTGCAGTTTAGTGGCAGGAATCCCCACAAAGGTTTCAGGTCCACTCTCATTAAGTGCAACCTGCCTGGACTCACACACTCTTACTTTTGCACACATGTCCGGGGTTGACAAATGTTAATGTAATGTCAGCAAAAACCAGATAGAATAGGAACAACTTTATAGTTTCTTATCATGCAGACATGTACATTATATTAAGTACATTTCCTTCTAAGTTAACAAGTCAAACTTTGAATATTTTTTTATGTTCAGTTCCTTGTGCAGCTTCAGCCCAATCCTAGAGCCTGAGCTGTATGTGTTGGCTGACATGCTTACCTTTTAGCTCTGCATCAGTTACATTGAGATAGTGATCTGACTGGGCCAGAGGAGACGTGGGGAACACATCGCAGATGTTCAGCCTGGTCCCAGTGAAGGTCCTGGCCGGCTCTTCTCAGCTGCAGGGAGAGATACATGTCATAGATTAGCTGTCACAGCCCTAGCATTAGCCCCAGCCCCCTGCAGCGTAAGATAACAGGTGGCGCAGAGACCAGGAGGCTGAATACTGAGGTGGTCCAGGTGAAAGCATACTCCACATGCTGGGCTCTGACAGAAGGCCCTGCTCCAGCCTCAGACCTGCACTCAGTGTTTGCAAATGGAGTGAAATGAGATGTGAAATTTCCACAGGACGGCCTGATGCTTCTGATGCTTCTTTGGGCTGTCTGCAGCATGAAAGAGGCTTGTGCAGCTGTGGAGATAGTGCAGAGAGGAGGCGTATGTGTGAGTAGAGGACAGATGCTGCCTGTCTCGCACAGACACTAGTCTGGTGGTTCTGCTCTCCTGATGGACAGTGCTTGGTCCAGAGTGTCTGCTCTGTACAGTGTTGTGCTCAGTTCTGGCAGTGCAGGTGCAGCTAGCCGCTCGTCGCTCTAATTACCCAGTGTTGTGCCACCAGCTGATGAGCTAATTACAGCATGCGCCTGTTTTCCTCTCGATCTGGAGCCAGTAAACACACCACACTCGTACAACCACAGCTCTGAATCACACATCAGAATCTTTCTGCACAAACATATTTATTCCTGCGCACAGTCAAGACACATGTGTGCCATCCGCCACAGCTGTCTCCCATCCAGCAGCAAATAACCCCACCTCGGCCGCTCCGGGAAATTATGGCTCATCTTCAAACAAATTTAACGCATTTTTTAAAACAAATGGGGGTGGTGTCATGGTAACTACAGTTGTTTTAATTGCCAGTTCTCAGAATTGGTGTTCAAAACTCTTTAACTCTACTATTAACCTCATTACTGTTGTGTGTCTTTATCCTTATACAATCCATCTTCCTCATTCCCCTTCACTGTAGGTTTGAGTGGAGGATGGTGAATAAAGATGGACTGACCCATAACTCGAGTTTAATCTCATGCTCCTTGTTTCTCCTCCTCAGAAAGCGAGCGTCTCCACTGCCTAAAGACGAGCACTCAGGTGGGGTGAAGGACTCACTGTTGGCCAACTCCTCCGACCCAGTGGAGATGAGACGCCTCAACTACCAGACACCAGGTAAAGAGGACATGGTCTTTTGGTTGGACTAATGTTTATTTGAATGGGAATGTAATACATATACTGTAGGAGTACCAGTAGGAGTTAGACCATCAACGGCATTTCAAATATATATACAGTATATATAGCTTAGCCCATGAGAATATGCCATAATACATTTCATTTTACTTTTTTCGGCCTTCTTCTGGGGACTGTATGTTCTAGCTTCCTATCACGTTATTCAAAGATAGAAAACCTATTTAAATGCATGGTTTAGGATCATTTCTACTTTTGTATTACTCTCTCCTTCAGCAACACTTCTTTTGTCCCAGTCTTACAGTGACAGAGATATTGCATCTTAAATTTATTTTCCTCACAAAACCGTCCAATCTACCTCTGCCTTGTTTGATTCTCCTGATGTATTTCTTGATTATTTTTGCGCCAGGTGTTGTCAGATAACACCGTCTACCACCCCTCGCATATTTTTCCGGTAATTCATGCTGCGGCTGGCTGCTACAGTTCAATAAGAGGAAAATAAACATATGCTATCAAACCCGGCTTGGACTGTATCACAGGTGGATTGCGATGCTATCCACGTTCTGCGCTGGTGTGTGTGTGCAAGTGTGTAGTGTGTGTGTGTGTGTGTGTTTGTGTGTGTGTGTGTGTGTGTGTGTGTGTGTGTGTGTTTAGTTGCTGTTCTTTGGTTGGTCCAGGCTACAGTGTCAGACCCTCCCCTCCTCGACCCCCTCTCCCCCCATCAGTGTCTTTCTCTCCCACCTCTGCTGGTAATGAGTCCTGCTGCTTCTGATGTCAAGGTGAGCCGGGCTGAGGGAACAATACGGCGAGGAGAAAATGTCAACGTTGCGCACATACAAGCCGCCCGCACGTGTGGCATGCGTGTGCGCCTGGGCCTTCTCACGGGTTATTAAGGACCCCATTGGCTGCATACTGGCACGCAGCCTCTTTGAACCCCTGCAGAGGAATTAAGCGGCAGCACTAAAGCAGCCCTGTTCGGTTCCCAGCCTCCCACTCTCCCACATCTTCTGTCCTTTGTCTCGCGTTTCTCCCTGTAGGCTAATAGTTACAACGCTCTTCTCTTTGCTGCCACTTTTTCGGCCCCCTTATGAATGCTTATCTTTTTGAGACATTCATTTGATTCTGCAATATCCCAGTCTGATGCCGACCAAATTATGTAATCAGGGACAATGCAAAGAAAAAAAATGAGACGGATCTAAATAGGTTACATGTGCTGGAGGGCAGTTGCAGATACAGGCCCAGATTATCATTTGATTGAGATTTAGAAGACTTCATAAAAATAGATTTTTTGAAATGTTTTTTCCCATGTTTTTGTTTATTTTCTGGACACCTTTTTGCAAACAAAATTAGACCATAGTTATTATGTACAAGACATGACGATGTGGGACATTGTTACAGTTATTGTTTCTTGTGGCCCAGGAATTAGAAAGATATTTGCTTTTTACAATTACTATAAATACCAGAAGAGATTTTTAGCTTTTTTCCACCACAATTTATAGGCTCTTTGGAATACTATAATTATGATTACATTAAAACTACCTGGTTGTTGTGTGTCAAGTGCAATAAGCCTACCTTTTCACACTTTGATTTAGATCTCAGCATGCATATTTGTATTCTTTTCCTAGAAACTCAGAGGCAATTATTGCCTCAATACCATTCATAAAGAAACAACACTAAACATCAATTTTTTGTAGCTGACACGATTTATGCTGTTACCATGTGACTTTGTGCTGCGGTAGCCATCTTACTTTTTAGTGAACTGTAGGATTGCATAAAATGAGAATAAGTATGCATAATGTGGATCTTGGGAATCATGAAGCTTCTAGGTCAAGGTAGCTCTTATATGTACTTCGTCTGGCTGCTGCATTAATGAATTGCTTACTTTTGTGGAGCACTTTTGCTTAAATGTGCTATATGAATAAAGTGCATTTGGATATTTTATGAAGGCTTTAGATGCTGAAATGGAACTAGATCCTGCATTCATTTTTGTCATCCTCCTGCTGTGTTTCTTGCTCTGTCCCTGATTGTTTAAGTGCTCCGTTCGATCATATCCCCTGTCAACTTCAATAGCAACTATAGCTGTAAGTGGTGCAAAAGGCTCTACCCTGGTCTTTCTATGTGAGTCTTCTTTACATTACAGAAAGCGCCACAGGTGGAGTACCGCAGTTTTAAAGCAAGTAGTCACCCGGGAACACTCGCCGGCTGTAGCTCGAATTGTCCCTCTGTAAAAGTAAACACCGCCCGCTGTGCTCTCCTGCTGCTCTTTAGGTTATTTGCCGAGGCTGTTTGGTCTGGGTCTGATCCAGTGCTATCTCCCTATTGATCGAAGTCTATTTCCTCTTCCCTCTCTCCTTTCCTTCGCTTCACTCTTCTTTCTCTTTCACAGGTCCCAGCTCCAACCGTTGTCCCAACACTCAAAGTTAGTTTTCTCTCTACTGCCCCCTACTGTGTACTCCCTCTTCACACACCAGTCTTTTCACGCCTATCACTCAATGTCATTTTATCTGTCAGACATCATTGTGTTTTGACTTGCCCTCTGAGGATGTGTGTGTAGTCCTTCCTGCAGGTTCCTCTTTTTGACAACTAAAGTGTAAGCTTTAAGCTTAAACAGAAGTATATGTTGTTTAAGCAATTATTGTATAGCTGTCTGAAAGCAACAGAATGAGATGCTTTCTGAAAGTTTTCTCTTAAATTAAAGGGAACGGCTTGTGCAAATTGAGCGTTTAAGCATATTCCCTGTTGTTTCACATTGTCCCCGTGCATGAAAGATGGCATTTCAAAATGTTTAGACTGCTTTTGTAAAGAAACTGTTCACCATCCATCACAAGCCAGCACCATATTGCCATTTTGCATAATTATACAACTTTTTTTTTTGTTTCTTTTTATCACTGTGTCTGTCTTAATTCAATACATGAGACAAATTAAGAAAGTAAAAAGCACAATGTTCCTGCCAAAGATAAGCTTAGCAAGCAATTATTCATTATTCCCGGTAAAATATCAGGGTTGCAATGCACAGTCAGAAGGAAATACTGTAAGTATTGAGAACAAGATTGGGAAACTGTTCTCAAGTCTGTAGATACTAAAGCTGGGGTAGCTAACTCTCAAACAGCAAAAGAAAATATGTAGCTGTATGTGACTATTTTCTGGCTCTAAAACAGTCTAGTTTCCCATGCATGTATTGTTGGCCTGTCTCATCTTTAGATCAGATATTTCAGACAGAAACATTTAATTGAATAAAGGATCTTCTAATAGCTTCATCTTATGTACCGGTATTTGAAAGATAACATGTTTTCAAATAAGACGAAGAAAGCATATTGTGGTCTGATTAGTTCGCAATATTTGACTCTTTATGTTAAACAAACGTGTGAAATTTACAAAACAGAAAAAAGTTAGATACCCCAGCTTTAAAGATGCATGTACAGGCAGGACACCATCATAACTAGCCTATTTGAGCGCAACCTTGTAAGAATGTTGCCGGCTTCATTTGCGGTGAGGTCCTGGCCGCCTAATGTCGAAAAACACACAAGTCATTTACCACTAACTATGTTGCTGGTAGCGCGTTTGCTGGAAGTGCACTTTGAGATTGCCATTTGAGACGCAGCAAAGGCTCCACTGTCCATTTAACAGACAACATGTCCACAAAACGGCCTGACCAAGCACGCCCCGCCACGTACACACCGATGTTACTAAATGTTAATGCGTTCATTGGAAGGCCCCTGCGTGTATTAGATTAGCGATTCTTATTCTGTGCAGTGACCATATTAACTAGCCATTAGCCATTAGACATGCTGCAATTACGGGGCCTGTTGCCTGACCTCCGCGCATTGCAAACCTACATCTGAGGTCATCAAAAAAATGAAATATGTTTGACCTGCACACAAAATGTAAAAGTGTAGTAAGCGCCGTAATTGAATTTGTTTTAGCAAATGTGTGTCTTTACAGTATGCAATCCCTGTAGTTTCAAACTTCCCTCTTCACTTCCCACCACCAACGATTATGAGTGTTGATTCTTCAACTTGTACACGTACTGTGAAAATTTGAGTTTAGCATCTAATCAGTGCAAAGTGGAAAGAACTAGATCTAAATTTGCATAAAACACGAGATGGGCTAAAATATTAGTGCACTTTGATTGTGGCAGAAAATGTACTCAATGAATAAAACTGGTGGCAAAATTAAATGGTAGAGTAAGTGTTCATTATAATATTAGCCATGTTTTGAAACACTGAAGTACCCCTACATTTGAAATACATTAATACAACATCGTATAAGTAGCTTTGTAAAAGTAGCTAACACTTTAACTCAACCCCCATGTAAAAAAGCATTTAATTTTGCTTCCTTCTTTGACCGCCTACCATATCTGCTGTTTATTGTTACCCATTGGCCTGAGACAGTCACCCTGGATATGGTCAAGAGCCCTAAGTAGTCATGTTCTTTTCCCCTGTTTGTCTCAAGTAATGGGTCAATCAAACACCGTAATCTCCCATTGATACAAACCAGTCTATAACTCAAAGGTTCGTTTAAATATATAAAAAAAACAATATATATTTGATTAGCTACACAGAACTACATCCTATGGATCAGTATGACATGCAGTCCTAATTAATGTGGAATGCAATATCCCCAAATATAATTGCCGAAACATGTTATTATAGGCACTGTAAATATGAATAAAAGTTATTCTATTTAACTTTTGTGATTGTACTGTGAGATTTTATTTAAATCTTACTCTGCTCTGTGTACTAAGGCACCTCCATGCGTCAATACAGTCAACTCTGAGCACACAAGTTTCCCAGCAATCCTTTTAAGCACAGAGCTTTTTGCCAAGTTCACAGGCACAGGGGGAATTTGTGTCGGTAGATTAGCAATAAATCATCCAATAACGCTACGATGAGAGATCTAGGGAGCAGCATGGGGGTTGTTTGAAATTAATCCAAAGCCAAAGTGCTCCAGGCTGGGACTCGAATCATAGTCTATTGTAGGGTGAGAGATTTTCAAAGGATCTTTTTGGCCGGTGACCAGTCAGTATATCCACTCCGCTCTCCAGGAAGTGACAGTGTGACGGATGCAGAGTGACTGTTGGGGTCTTGTAGTGATCCCACCTTTTGCCCCGGTCGAGATTGGAGTCTCTCAAGATCTGTGCCTTCTCCTCGTCATTCAACCCTCACGTCTTGGCCACACCTGTGTCCCCTTCTCACTACAGCCACACTTCCGCAGAGACACTACCATGATTCAGTTCAGCACGACTTGGTTTGGTAGTTCAACCTTTGATGCCTCTGGGGGGTCTGGAGGGAGATTGACAGTAGCCGCACTGGTGGTGATGTGAGTCATAGTGGGGGTCCAGTGGGGGTATTCCTAGAGATGCTATTCCTTCACCTGGCCACAGCAGGACATGAAATATATCTCAATCAATTAATTTTGTAATATTTGAAAATACACAAACTATTATTATCGGTTCAAATTAGATCCTCAACATGTTCCATACTTTCTTCCAATCTCTTTTAGCATACCTTACAAATGAATCTTAATACACAGTATTGTAAACACGGTGGTTCTCAAAGTGCGCGGGTGGGACTTCTAAGGGTGGCATGAAACATTAGCTGAGAGGCCGCATAATAAAGGAAAATTGTATTGTATTGTAAAACTTGTTACTGTATTTCACCAATTATTTGACAAAACATTAGGCCAGAGGTGTCCAAACCGGTCCAGAAAGGGCCACGGTGGCTGCAGGTTTTCTATCAGACCCAGCACGAGCAGAGCAGACTCCACCCATTTCATCAAATCTTCAGGTTAAGACTGAACTCACTTGGGGAACTGGTCAGAGTCTGCGCTGCTCCTGCTGGGTCTGACAGAAAACCTGCAGCCACAGCGGCCCTTTCTGGACCAGTGTGGACACCCCTGATTTAGGCCAAACTTAGATTAAAAAACACAAAATGTACAGTAATTAACGCTATGTGCTTTTAGCATGTTTTGACTTTTAGAGCACAATCATTCTGCAGCGGTGGCGTAGGTGCAGTGTCATACCCAAGGGTTTAGTCACATTCACATCACTGGGCAGGAAAACTAGTCCATGTATTCTCTGAAGGAAGCTGATGCTGGCTTGACATCATCCCATTTCAGAGCCAAAAATGTAATATCCAGGTATACTACCAGTGCTGAGCCGAGCTGAGCCGTAGCAGGTGGAACCTGTGCTTGCGCATGATGACATCACCAGTGCACCAGTGTTTACATTGTTCAACTACGTGTCCACTGCCACTTCATGGTCCCTCACTCGCTCTCCGCTCCAACATACTCATTGTATGGAAGTGTTTAATTGTCACCTTATGCTAATTTGAATGTATTTTTCTACTATGTTCACAATCAGGAATGAGGGAGCACCCACCAATCACAGTGGCAGACCTGGCCGACCACATCGAGAGACTGAAGGCCAACGACGGGCTGAAATTCTCCCAAGAGTATGAGGTGTGTTTGCTTTTTGTCAGAACTTCATACACATATTCTATATCTATCTATATTTTTCCTGGGTACATCTTGGGATTCCCCCGGATGAGCTGGTAGAGGTGTGTGTGGATAGGGAAGTCTGAGCGTCTTTGCAACCCGGCAATGGATAAAGTGTGAACCGAGCATAATTTTGCATCGATTAAAAGCTCAATATAACAAGAATAGTTTGAATGGTTTCTCAATCATTACTGAAAATGTTCTCTAAAGACATTTACTGTAGCAATGCTCAAATCTAGTATCTCATATCTAATTTCCAGCTTATTTTTTTACCTTTTTGTCCTGATTAATTTTTCAAATCTCCAGTTTTATGTTCACTCATATCCAATCTCTTTTAATGAGATGAATCTCAATGTTTTTTGTGCTTAAATTTGTTTTCATGTTTTCTAATAGCCTCCTTTCATTGATGCTGTTCAGTCTCTTTTACAACTCTATTACCAAGCCCACCAGGACGCCCACTATTAAACCTTCAGGGGCCCTTTCTCCCAAAACTAGCAGGTGGTTGTGAGTTCCTTAAGTAATCTGCTTGTGTCTTGATGGTTGCATTGAATGTTATTTTGCTCCAGCTCCTTCCAATGCAACTGTGTGAAGGATTATGTCTTGCCGCTTGTCTCCTTCGAAAGAAAAGAGAAACCATTTGCATTTAAAGTGGCAAATTGCTGTTTTTTTTAGGAGTGAGCAAGGCCAGATGAGTGGAGGACATGTTCTTTGCATATGGAGGGAGAAAAGGAGTTGTCCTAATGCTTCTGGGATTGTTGGATCAGACTTTTATAATGATGATTCCACAGTATAGGAGCTTGGTAGAAAAACGCTTTGCCTCTGACTGTGCTTTTTGGTACTTGAGGAACCACCAGAAGTGTGGCATCTTGTACGTTAAAAGAAGGATTTTAAATTTGATTTAATACTTATGAACACAGGCCTATTGGTTTTTAACAATATGTGGAGGCCTAAAGCTTCCCAGAGAAAAATCTCCTTTCAATACTACTACTGTTGTTTTATTTAGTGTATTTATCAGTATAAGAGTTCTCTTTCCCTGTGAAAGCAGCTGCTTCAGTCTCTCCTCATAAGCGCTGCGCTCTCCTCTCCCTTTCACCACTCAAACTAACTGAGAGGAAGTAAACCTGTCCAAACTGATCACTGCTCTTTTACATCATGTCCAAAACTTTTGTGGAACTTTTTGAAAGTCTGCAACTTTGTAAATTTGGAGTTGTTTGACTGTGAGTGAAAGCAGGATAGAATCAAAAGGAATAAAGAAGAACTCGCCTGTGAAGAGACAAATGTGCAGACATGGAGCTGCAGGTAGAGGACAGCACTCACATGACCCACATTTAGCAGAATTAAATATCAGCAGAGTTTGGGTTTGTACCAAGAATTGTGTTGTGCACCACTAAAACAAAGCAAAGTTATTTTGTAATTTGGTTTTATAACTTCAATTACTTGTCAATGTTCTTGGTGTCTTTTGTAGAAACTTGAGACAAAGTAAATCTTTATTTATATAGCGCAGTTATGTACCAGCTAGAAAAGCTCTTTAAAATGTAGTGTATAGTAATTCACTTCTCACCATGAGGAGCGAAGGGTTCTGCCCCACACTAGACTCTCCATCTTTCACCAACCAGTCCTACATTATTTTAGTGGTGGAAACTTCCCCAGACACAGGGACAACATGCAAACTCCATACAGAAAGACCATGTCATGGTCTTGCATTTTAACAAACCTGCTCTGAATGTTTTTCCGCCCTATGGCCCCCAAAAGCAATTTAGTGAATAAACAAAAGTTTTTTCTGCACCATGCCAGACTATTCATTTAAATTAAATACAAAATGAAATTTAATACTGGCAGAGGAATCCATTACAATTTACAATTAACATGCATTGTGAAGGTAATTTTCCAACAGTGGCCTAGACCTCAGTTTTGTGCTGCTGGCTATTTGTTATGAAACTGCAAAAAATTCATCCATTTTTCGGCTTATGTCCCAACTCTATTATTTAACTTAATGAAATGCTCCACTGTAGTAGGCGCAGGCGGAAGTAATTGCTAGAACCAGCATACAACCAGCATTAAAATCATAGACAGTGATTATCCGGGACATTTAATGACATTTATTGACAACATGGACAGTGGTCATCCTGCTTCCCATGGACCATGGCTTTTATGTGTTTTTTAGAATTTCATTTCCTGTGCTCAATGCGTTTGATTCTCTGATCTGTTGTTGAGGAATGGACCACATTATAAAGTCTTCTGAGACGACTGTTTTTGTGACTTAGGGCTTTACAAAATAAAATGAACTAAATTGTAACTGTCTTTATATATACTGAAAATATACAATTTTATTTCCGAATACAGTTTATATACTGTCTACAAATATATATATATAGTATATACTTACTGTATATATACAGTGCCTTGCGAAAGTATTTCGCCACATTTCAGGCTTCAAACATAAAGATATAACATTTAAATGTTTTGTCATGAATCAACAAGTGGGACACAATCGTGAAGTGGAACGAAATGTATTGGATAATTTAAACTTTTTTAACAAATAAAAAACTGAAAAGTGGGGCGTGCAATATTATTCGGCCCCTTTACTTTCAGTGCAGCAAACTCACTCCAGAAGTTCAGTGAGGATCTTTGAATGATCCAATGTTGTCCTAAATGACTGATGATGATAAATAGAATGCACCTGTGTGTAATAAAGTCTCCGTATAAATGCACCTGCTCTTTGATAGTCTCAGGGTTCTGTTTAAAGCGCAGAGAGAACCATGAAGACGAAGGAACACACCAGACAGGTCCGAGATACTGTTGTGGAGGAGTTTAAAGCCGGATCTGGATACAAAAAGATTTCCCAAGCTTTAAACATCTCAAGGAGCACTGTGCAAGCAATTATATTGAAATGGAAGGAGTATCAGACAGCTGCAAATCTACCAAGACCCGGCCGTCCCTCCAAACTTTCATCTCAAACAAGGAGAAGACTGATCAGAGATGCAGCCAAGAGGCCCATGATCACTCTGGTTGAACTGCAGATAACTACAGCTGAGGTGGGAGAGTCTGTCAGTCATGCACTGCACAAATCTGGCCTTTATGGAAGAGTGGCAAGAAAAAAGCCATTTCTCAAAGATATCCATAAAAAGTCTTGTTTAAAGTTTGCCACAAGCCACCTGGGAGACACACCAAACATGTGGAAGAAGGTGCTCTGGTCAGATGAAACCAAAATCGAACTTTTTGGCCACAATGCAAAACGATATCTTTGGCGTAAAAGCAACACAGCTCATCACCCTGAACACACCATCCCCTCTGTCAAACATGGTGGTGGCAGCATCATGGTTTGGGCCTGCTTTTCTTCAGCAGGGACAGGGAAGATGGCTAAAATTGATGGGAAGATGGATGGAGCCAAATACAGGACCATTCTGGAAGAAAACCTGTTGGAGTCTGCAAAAGACCTGAGACTGGGACGGAGATTTATCTTCCAACAGGACAATGATTCAAAACATAAAGCCAAAACTACAATGGAATGGTTCACAAATAGACGTATCCAGGTGTTAGAATGGCCAAGTCAAAGTCCAGACCTGAATTCAATCGAGAATCTGTGGAAAGAGCTGAAGACTGCTGTTCACAAACGCTCTCCATCCAACCTCACTGATGTGCAAAACTGACAGAGACATACCCCAAGCGACTTGCAGCTGTAATTGCAGCAAAAGGTGGCGCTACAAAGTATTAGCGCAAGGGGGCCGAATAATATTGCACGCCCCACTTTTCAGTTTTTTATTTGTTAAAAAAGTTTAAATTATCCAATAAATTTTGTTCCACTTAATGATTGTGTCCCACTTGTTGTTGATTCTTGACAAAAAAATACATTTTTATATCTTTATGTTTGAAGCCTGAAATGTGGCGAAATGTTGAATACTTTCGCAAGGCACTGTACATTCTTACATGTTCAGTATCCCAGTACATTTTAAAGCTACTCCCTAGGCTTTGAACGTGCTGTGTGGTGGGAGATAGTGTAAGCAAATCTGTATGTCTTACCAGCATATGGTATATGATTTTGATACATTTACGGCAATTTAGGGGAAATGAAATGCTGTCTGGAGGCATAATTAGCCCCTTCTGAAACGTCTGCGCTCAATTAAGTGTTGTTTTTCGTGGGCTGCTCTGTGCCTCGCCTGCCTGTTGAGTTAGTGTAACATATCAAGCCAGAATGCGGCTTGTATGGCTGCAGGCCTATCCCCAGCCCGCTCTCCCTCCCAGCCAAGGAAGACCCCCTCCCCATATGCGCAGATGGCAGCCGTCCCCATGCCAGCTGGGACAGTGCGCAGCAGCTCTGGTGCTTTGTCAGAGTCACTTTCTCCGGCTGCTCCTGTTGTGCCGAACCCCGAAGGCTCATCTCCACTTCCCTTCCAGCGGTGGGACGAGTGGCAAAATCTGTGCTCAAGTGATCCGCATGATGTCCAATTCCTCCAGAAGTATGTGGAAGATTTAAGTAGTTAAAGATGACTTATTCAGAAGACTTTTACGCACTTGTAGTTTTTCCTTATCATTCAAGGTGTTTGAAGCTGTGTTCCCTCCGAATCATGCGTTGCGGTAAATTTCAAAGCAAAGTCAGTGGTGACGACCGTCCATGTGAGGAATTGCATGTACTGATAAACAAGTGCTGCTAACGTGATGCGGAAGTACGGGCATTAGCATCAAAGCCCGCCCACCACTTCCGCCCTGGGTTTTTCCCCATATGTCAGATTGACCAAACTCTTGCAGCTGATATTTAGTGAACGTGCGTCCATGCCAACTCATGTCCATGCATCGGCGGTGGGAACACAGCTTTAGAGAGATCCAAACATGTTTGTGGGGTTTTTTTCACTTCACGATTGTATGTGCATTTGACATCCAGTTTTTAGTGCTTGTGCTATAGTTTTGGGTTCAATTCCATCTCCAGACAGGGCCTTTCTGGGTGGAGTGGGTAGGTTTCCTCGGGG